GTTATGAATTGCTCCTTTAAATGAATGCCTTGGCTTCCTATTTATAGAATTCCAAAACTTAATTTTTGTATTTAAATAATCAGATGAAATAAATCATTTTTGCCAGGTGTTGACACATGTCCTATTTGATGACTTTTCCGATGACCTTCGATTTTTCGTTGAGTCACATGCTACGTCTAAAATTTATGTGACAAATGATCATTGGAATTTTAATTATTGATCAACATTTATTTCACCGAAATTTCGATGTTTACAGTTGGATGCTGAGAAAGTGTGAGAAAATAGAATATCTGCTTGTTTTATTGAAAAAATTGTGAAATTTTGGTGTGGCTGCTTCTTAAATTTTGTGCTATACGAAATATGAATATCTGTGGTACTGGTGGATCTTTGGTGGAAATAGAAGTTATAACACATAGAACACATAGAACTATTACATTATTCTTCTTTCAATTGAATATAGCCTCAATTCATTCTATTCATTGCAGTAAGTAAACATATTTGTTTGTTTGTGGTGAAATAAATTTTGTAATTTGTATTCATCATGTTTTGGTTTCATTCTAGTGGCTTAATTTGTTTGTTATTAATCTTATTCTTAGAGTGGTGGATACAGTAAAGATCTGATTCCGATAGTATGTCATCTTTTATCTTCAACACTCTTCATTTGAGTTACAACAATTATCTCACTTAAGGCAATCTCTTTTGTCTACAGGTTGGATTCAATATGAAGAAAGTAAGAAAAAGGAATGTCACAATAAAGTTGTGGGATCTTGGTGGTCAACCAAGGTTTCGAATCATTTTGAGATGAAGGATATAAAACCCGGTTAGGGCGTCGTGTTGATAACGTGTTATAAATAAGCAAAATGAGAGATGACCTTTTCCATAAATTGGAGTGAAACATGAGCAATTGATCAATCTTATTATTTTATTTATTGATGCTAGTCAGGAAAATGAGCGTAAAAAAGATGAGCAATAACCTTGAGGAAAGTAGTGGTATTGTGTATTCTTTTTTTGTATATTTGATCATGCATTGCATGCACCTTATATATGCCTATAAAATCAAACAACTGTTTTGGTTTTTCTTAGATCACATCTTTAGGTGTATTACTAACAAGATTGCTCGTGCGCTGCTGCGGTGCTGTGCTGCTATATTTTGTTCTTACACAATGCTATCTACGATAAAGAACAATGAGCAGCGTTGAATTTAATTTCATCACCAATGGTTTAAAATTGTAGCATCAGAATTAAAAAAATAAAAGTAAAAAAATAAAAAAAACTAACTGTTATTAATATACATTGATCAACAAAAATAAAATGACAGATCCTACTACTTCTATCACGGAGAAAAATATTAACATTTGGAAAAGAAAAAAAAAAGAACTTCGAAAAAAAAAAAACTGAGAACGAGGATCATATTGAATGCAAACCATGAATAGCAAACAAAGGTAAAAGAAAGAATAACAATTGGACAAAAAAATAATAATAATTGAACCATAATCGAAGAAGGCATTTGGTTTTGAACCTTATAATTATGAAGCAATTGTTATAAGGATGAATGAGCCGAACTTACAATGCATTGATGAGTGTGCAATCTCGGCATGAATTTGCTAAAGCAAGATTATCTACACCAAACCAAGCGACAACATTTTAATGGTCCAACCTGTTCCTGAAAAAACAAAGAAAAATTAAACTAAATGAGGGGATCTATACCCTAAGACAAACGAAAAGGTTCATTAAAGTTAGAAAGCATCAAACTTCATAATTTTCTGCAAAAACATACATAGCTATGAAGGCTCCAATTTTTCGCAAGCAGTTATCAAATGTTTGACAAAATTTGTCAATTTGAACAAAATATGTACAACGGAATGATCACAATCGTGAAGACCAATATGTGCAATTCACTAGAAACACTCTTACGAAAAGAGTGCAACTCACAAAATGCAGAATGAAAAGAAGAACATAGAGGTTGCTTTGAACTTCCACAGAGTCCAAAGAAACTGTCAACTCATCGGGTTACATAATTTTAAAAAAGTGTAGTACTCTAAAAAAAAAATCCATCCGAAGGAAAAATTATGACATCAAATTTTACTCGCAGATGGAATTGTTAAGTTATGTAATTGGTTGAAGCAAGAAGAACCAGCCAAAAATGTAGAAGAGCAGCGAAAGAAATTAAATGGATAAATATTGTAAAATTAGTAGGTTGCAGAGAAAAATAAACATTGTTTTCTAGGAATCAATTTGATTGGATACGTAATAAGTCAACATATAGTAAGGCAGGAGAAATGATGAGACACGTACCAGAATTTGAAGACCATAGGTCGAGACGAGTTTCTAGTCCATGTATAGATATTTTGCAGAGTTTCACAGGTCAAGCTGTGAAGAAAGAACTGAGTTATCAGCAATTGTGGACTGGCTCAATTTGAGCTTAAAACGATCACGATACTTTCTTGACGATTATAACAGAGAGATTGGTGTCTGGAACCTGTGTTGTTCCCCTGAAAAGAATGTCATGAATTTATCTATTGGATAAGTGCCAAGGCACCCAAGAATTTTCATTGAAAAAAACCAGAGAGTTTCAAACTCTCAGACTAAAGATGCTTTGCAAGCAATAAAAACTTAACCAAGTTGAGATCAAATACAAACCCAAATGAATGTTAACCCATCAAGCAAAACATTACAAACTTTAAATAGACAATCAATAAAAAAGAAGCAAATGGGGTTTAACAACTTTAAAAATTGTGTATTAAAGCTAATAATGAAGGAGAAAATGTTGTGCGAAAACGGAAAAAAAGGCAAACACGAAGGAGAAGCAGAAGAGAAAGAGACGAACACCTTTCTTTTCCACCTGAGATTTTTGGGTGGTTGGGATTTTTGTGTACAAAGCAATGGTATCAATTTAATTTTTCCTGTGTTTTTAGACCAAACTCGTCTCAAAAAGTAACATAGCAAATCTGCATCCATACCATAGTGATAAAAATGGATAAGTTCTATAGGTAATTGGTAACACAGTTATCATCCGAGCTGCTTTGCGAAGAAAAATAAGAAAAACTAAAATATTAACAAAAAAAAGAAAATCAAGTTTTTTGGTCTTTATTATCCGACGCTACATACAAAATTCAAACTGTTAGCGGTTGACCTTGAAATACAAAGCACAAAAACAAATTGATCCTATATTCAATTTCGAAGGTAGATAAGAGTCATGCAAAGGTATTGCATAGGATTATAGACCATAACGAAGCTACTTTTATAGTTATTTACTTCCTCACATGATATTTACGGTATAGTTAAATGTTCTCTAGCTTTTTAGCAGTAATTAATCCTGCTTCCAACGCATTCGCTTGAGAAAAAGTAGCATTCAACGTTTTAATCAATAGATAAATTCATGGGAATGAACGCAGATTAGAAGTCAAAAGTAAAATCAAAATGAGAATGAACATTCATGAAGTGTAAGATTACAAATTGAGGACAATGGGTTGCAAAGAAGTGAAATAGAAGGAGATGAAACCAAAAAAAGAAAGAAAAAGGCAGCAAGTAGCAAAACTAACATCTAATCTAACAAATTCTATTGTTTGACAAAAAACTCATTACTTGGGTATAGATTAGGGGATCAAATCTGTGAAGTGTAAGATTACAAATTGAGGACAATGGGTTGCATAGAAGTGAAATAGAAGGAGATGAAACCAAAAAAAGAAAGAAAAAGGCAGCAAGTAGCAAAACTACCATCTAATCTAACAAATTCTATTGTTTGACAAAAAAAAAGTAACAGAAAACCGACAGCAAAAAATAGTTCATATATTAGAAACTAAATGTTTCAACAGATTATGTACCTTCATCAAAAGGCCAACATTCAAACACCGGCATTTCCTCAAAGCCAAAAAGAATGAAATCAGATAGTGACATGCAATATCCAATCACACAGACAGACCCTACAAAATTACAAAAAGAAAATTTAAACGTGAAATTTATCTGTAAATCAAAAACCCCCCAAAATAAATAAATGAGGACATTGAGAAAAGAAGGCTTACCAGAGGTTGGTTTAAGCTCAGCTCAAAACGACAGCGAGTCTCAAACTGTATTCAACACTGTGTTTGGAAGATGTAAAAACGACATGATAATATATTAACATCCTTGAAAACAGAGAGGTTCCAAAAAACTTATAAATAAAATCTTTGATTTGGTATAATGCAGGCATAAAAGTTAAAAGCCGTTTACATACAAAAAAAATAATAATACAGTCATCCGTTGGATTTTAGCACTTGCAACCACTTTTCAAGTGGAACCAGCATTTAGATACAAAAATTGGTAAACGTTGGTTTATGCATAAGCAAAAAATATTATGAAGTTTAGATTCGAAGGACATTTACATGGCAACCAAATAATATAAATATTGTTTGATACATGTGAACAAAAAACAATCAACATTTTTCAGCACTGGAGGTCAACTTTTGGTACCGCTCTGTTCATTCTTGAGAAAGCAACCTAGGGAAAGAAAAGAAATTAAGACGGTTAGATGGTTGTTAAGTATGCGTTACAATAAATTTTTCAGGAAAAAAAAAGGCAAGTTAAAAATATAGTCACCTTTTTTCTTGTTGGATGAGTGGTGTCCAATTTTGCACCAGTGGGGATGATTTTTTTTGTTTTGAGCAACTTGATCGGAACTTCATAGAACTCTCTTGGATCTGCGTCTGAAATTTCTTCTATTTCACTATTTTAAATGGGAGATCAATGTTAAACAGCATGAATGTACAATAATTTGAAATTTATACTTACAAAAGTAGTTATGAGACAAACTTTTGTTCACTGACAGTAAAAAGAGCTTTCCTAATTGATTTCTTCTTTTGTTTATCCAACTGTTCAGTGGTTTCAGTTAGGGCTGGGCACGGGCCGGGCCGAGCCGGGCCGGACCTAATTTTCAAGGAACCGGAGGTTAAAAGAAACGGGCCGGGCCGAGTCGGGTACATCATATTTCATTACAGAAATCGGACCGAACCCGGCCCGTTTGAAACGGGCCGGTCCGGGCCGGGTCCACCGGTCCTTGGTTTTTTTTTTTTTTTTTTTTTTTTTTTTTTTTGCGAAACCGCTACGGAAAGGACTCCAGAACCACCGCCATGCTGCCTTCGTCGTCGCACCACAGCTTCTCCACCTAGCCCCGCGCCGGCACCGCCACGTTTCTCACCATGGCCAACATCCTCACAAGCAACACCTCCTCCATGCTTTCCGACTCTGGTGGCACTTGCTCTGTCTCGGACTGCATCCCTCCCTGCTCCGTCTCGGACTGCATCCCTCTCTGCTCTTGAATACACACACACACACACACAACACACATACTCAGAAAATGCATACAGATTTGCACCAAAAAACAAAATCAATTAAAACATAAAAATAAATAAAAAATTTATAGCAAAACCCATAAATGATTAGGACAAATTTTTTTACTTTCTTTGATTTCTGGCCTTGTAAGCAAGAAACAATCTTGTGGGTATCTTCCATAAACTTCTTCTTGCCTTTGGAGGCGGAGACCCCAACTCCAATCCCGCCGAAGCAGACGACTCCATTTTGCGGGATGAAATCCCGAAGCTTCTGGGTTTTAATTTCTTGCAGGACGTTCGAGATCTCAATCATTTGGGATGTCGTCGAGGACTCGAGGAGGACAATCGAGGTTCCAGGGCCATCGTGGTGGTCGCCAGGGCCCAGACTCGCGACGGCGGTGAAGTCGGGGTGGTGGATGAGGTGACTGACGGAGAGTGGCGGAGTGTTGGTGGAAGAACCGTGAAGGGGACGACGATGGGGTGGTGATGGTGCAGCTGCAGTGATGGGTGACGATAGTGGTGAATCAGTGGTGGTCTGCGAGGAGAGATAGGAGTGGGAATAGAAAGAGGACGGCTAGGTGAACTTAAAGAGAGAGAGAGATCAATTTTTTATTTTTTTAATATGTTGATGCAATTATAATTATGAACTTGTAGGACTTTTGTAGCTAATAAGTACAAGTAGGTGCGAAAAGTGGGGTGGGTGTCTGACAATGTTCTCAGTTCTCGAGAGTGAGAACTCACGGGAAGCCTTGGAGAGTGAGACAGTGATGTTTTTAAATTGGGATGTTACCCAAAAGGGTCCTCGGGTACCCGTTTTTTTATTCTTCTGGACCCGGCCCGCCCCTAAAATTCTAAAGCCCCGGCCCGGCCCGCCCCGTTTCTCTTTTTAAAAATTAGGAACCGGCCCGTACCCGCCCCGAACCTTGATTACCCGCCCCGACCCGCGGTTCCTATACCCGTTTGCCCAGCCCTAGTTTCAGTTGTTGAAGTCGAAGATGAAACAGTGGTGGATGATACTATGATTTCTCTCGAGAATGGTTTTGGAGTTACTGGCTGCATAGTTGTACCTTCAATCACACTGTGAAGGAGGATATCATTTTAATTAAAATTATTTCTCATGTTGCCAAATCCCAGGTGGAAAATTTTCTTTTGTCCAATCAGCTTGAGAAATTCATTCGCTAACTGTTGTTGGTCCACCAATCTTTGATTTAACACCAGGTCTTTGCAAGCGATGCCAAAAAGCTTTTCACCACATTTACCAATTATCAAGTATTCATTTCATTGGTTTCATCTTTGAGAAATCAGATTGACTTTGTACCTACATTTAAAAACTGAACTTAATGAGATTTTTCAGAGCTGTGAATTGTCATAAACATAACAGGTTAAAAAGTTGAAGAAGAACATATTAGATATGTGGAGTACGTTTATATAATTATATGACCATCATGTGCAACCAAATATGAGAAAAGAGAAAAAGAAAAGCAAGTGAAGAAACAAATTTTTTTGTCATGACAGTAAAAAAACAATTAGATTTAAGTTTATATAACTCAAGTTGGACAAAAATACAGAGTAAAGAGAAGACAATGATAATAAAACAAAATTTTAAACATCATGTTAGCTACCATTATGTATATCTATTACAAAAATGCTCTACTATAATCTGGAATTTAAGAATGGAGAAATTAGACTCTCATCTCTCTTTATTCTATTGCATTGATTAAAACCATATTTCTTTTTACTTTTTGATCAAGGTCCGTAGCTTTTAATGAACGCATTATTTCAGTTATTAATTATTTACATTTCAGTTATTAGTTTGTACCATTTTTAATTTACAACCTTTTTTTTTATTTGTACCAATTTTCCTTTTAGTTTTAATTTGTACCCATATATTAATTTCAATTCGTTCCCATATTTTTATAATTTTTATTTATACTCATAATTTATTTATCATGCATCCATTTTTCCTTATAAATGTACCACTTTGTTATATGTAATAGTGTAAAATGTATCTTTTTTTATTTTATTTTTTTGTCAATGTGCCATTTTTTATATATAAAATGTACCCATTTTTTAATGTAAAATCTATTTATTTTTATTTATTTATAATGTATACATATTTTGTAATAAAATGTACCGGTTTTTCAATTCTTTTGAACACTATGGGTAAATTCATTTGACATTTATTATTTCAAAGCTATATTGTTATCGTTTTTATCTATTTATTTTATCAAAATTTTTTAGTATTTTTTTTATTTTAATTGTTTTTAATTTATATGCTGACATCCTACATCGTCCAGGGGAGTGGATCATTTAAGCTTTATATATATATTCTCATCTCTACATAGCATGAGGCTTTTTGGGAGCTCACTGACTTCGGGTTCCATCAAAACTCCGAAGTTAAGCGTGTTCGAGCGACAGCATTCCCAAGATGGGTGACCAACTGGGAAGTTCTTGTGTAAGTTCCCATAAACAAAACCGTGAGGGCGTGGTCGGGGCTCAAAACGGACAATATTGTGTTATGGTGGAGTCGAGCCCAGGATGTGGTGGGGTACCGAGCCGAGATGTGACAATTTGGTATCAGAGCCAATCCCTAGGCGGAAGTGTGCCAACGAGGATGTCGGGCCCTTAAGGGGGTGGATTGTGACATTCCACATTGCCCAGGGGAGTAGATCCTTTAAGCTTTATATGTATATTCTCATCTTTACCTAGCATGAGGCCTTTTGGGAGCTCACTAGCTTTGGGTTCCATCGAAACTCCGAAGTTAAGCGAGTTCGAGCGAGAGCATTCCCAAGATGGGTGACCCACTGGGAAGTTCTCATGCGAATTCCCAGAAACAAAACCGTGAGGGCGTGGTCGGGGCCCAAAATGGACAATATTGTGCTACGCTGGAGTTGAGCCCGGGATGTGGTGGGGTCCCGGGCAGGGATGTGACATATGCCATATAATATAGGATTTAAAAATAAAAAAATTAATCCCATAACATGTTAAGTAATTAATATCAAACATAGGAAAATACATATTAATAGCAATAATAAGGTGTACAGAGTCAAGGGATTTTGATAAAAAAAAATTGAATACTGTTTGTACCATACTTAGAGCCTCCGTATTTAGATCTCATATAAATACTCGAGAGACTCAAATGTAATTATGTAATAAATGAAGGGGAAAATATGTAATAAGTGAGCAACCCTTATTCTATAAAAGGACTCCTCACTTTCCTCATTAAGGGAGGCCAAGGTTTTAGGCCATGGGAAGAGAGCACACAAAAAATAGGCTAAAGAGCACACTACCTTTAACCTTCTTGTATATTCACCATTCAGAATGAAACAATATCAACATCAGTGTGGACGTAGCCCAAACATTGGGGTGAACCACAATACATCTTGTGTTCTTTACTTTCATGCAGATTCACGGTCGGATTTACGTTGTTCTAAGATCCCTCCGGTTTTGTGCATCAACATTTGGCGTCGTCTGTGGGAAACGACACGAAAAGCTATGTTGGTTCTCTTTCATTTTTTCATCTTACCACCATGAAACCTCACCACAATATCCACCGTGAATCTGCAGAAACCCAAAAACCAAACACCCGCAGAATCACTGCAAAACCCATCTCTAAAAAATGCAGAAATGAAAACTCCTAAACTCAACCACAATTTCTCCTCTCTCTCTCTGCAACTTTTGATTTTTGAATTTTATTCTATTAAAGAAAACAATTTGGGAAAGAAGGAGGAGGATGTACGACCCGCAGTATTTCCTGGAATCGCAAGAGAAGTTCAGTAATTTCAGGGACCCAAAATACTGGCTTTCTGTGGATGCCAACTCGTCCCCGACCCACCGCTCGACTCAGTCCTCACTCGCCCACTCCTCCACCGCCACCAACAACAATCTCGATCGCGTCCTCTTCAAAGATCTCGTCGAGATTATACCTTTCGTCCAGTCCCTCATCGATCGGAAAAGTTGAACAAAAGGGAGGAATGCGGCTTAACCCATTCCTGCAAGACAGAAGAGGGATCATGGAGATAAGGGCTCAAGCAAAAATGAGCCTTGATGCTGACAGCTTTTCAAGTTTTTCCTTAAGGGCTTCGACAGAGAAAAAGTATGGTGCTTACCAATCATCCAACTTTGAAAAAAAAAAGTAGTAGCACTACGATGAACAGGGCCTCCCTCTTGATGTCCCAAAAGGTCATTTCGCCGTCTATGTTTTGTGCACCTTGTTCTTTACTTTGGGTTCCGGACTCTTAAGGTGCCGTGAAATCATGCTGCCGTCGGTTTTGTGCACCTTGTTCTTTACTTTCTTTGATTCCTTCAATTTTTTTCCGTTGTTCGATTAGTGGGTTATTGCATGCTCGTGATAGCTAGGTGTTTGTGAAAAAGCCTAGCTGAGAGAGCTTTCACACCGATTGGCGTTTTCTAGTGATAGGTTCTTGCTTAAGTTCTAGAATCAAAGTTAATACCCCCCTCCACGATGGTTTACATTCAAATAGCAAGGTGTCGTCTGTCTCAGTGCCTTCAACTCCTCGGACAGAGGGCGAGATCCTGTAGTCCTCCAATTTGAAGAACTTCTGCTTTAACGAACTGAAAAATACCACCAGGAACTTCCGTCCTGATAGTGTGGTGGGTGAAAGGGGTTTCGGTTATGTCTTTTAATGGGTGGGTTGATGAGAATTCATTAAAAGCTATCTGCACCATGATCCCTGCCATGCCCTCAGTGATGTCATTGGCACAAGGTGTCATGGAAGCTGCTAAAATGAAAGAGTCCAGTCGTGAAGAAACGGGTTTTTGTGTGCTCAGAACCAAGTTGTCTACACCATGATCCCTGCCACGCCCTTGACGATCTCGTCGGCATAAAAAAAAGCACTTCTACCCCAACAACTACGACCACCACAACTCCATCTCCTCCATTGTCCCAAATCGGGTCATACCCGCTTCCGGCCGTCGTCAACAACCCAACTGGAAATTACCCATACAACCATCCTCCGTCTACTGATAACAGTGGTTATGGATATGGTGCTAATCCTCCTCATAACATCTTACCTTATTTTCCATTCTACTTCAAAAATGGTGCTCGTGGAAAGTTTGAAAGTTGTAGGAAATGGAGTGGGAAAGCAAAAGCAAAGCAAAAAAAAAAAAAAAAAAACCGAGAAAAAGCAGAAAGCAAAAGCAAGGAATAAAGGGAGGAAAAGGAAGTCTGTAGGTGGAGAAAAGGAAGTCTGTAGGTGGAGAAAAGGAAAAAGATATATGTTGATGCCAAAGTGCTTTCCGAATATTTTTATCATTGTGGAATCTTTTATGTACTGGGGAGGAGTGAAAGGAAGTGAGTCCTATTGGAGCGGGGAGATCAAGAAAAGCAAATGGGTGATGACGGAAATACTTTTTCACTTTGGCTCAAATCTTCAAGCGCCCTGCCCCCCGCAACTGCCAGCTGCACATAATCCCACTATCCAACCATCTGCCATACCCACCTTATGCAACAGTTTTTTTGAGTGATGTGATTTATTTATTTATTTTAATCTTTTGTAGACATCTATATAAACCCACCAGAGGGTAATCGTAAATAAAGAAAAAAGGCAGCATGCCAAAAAAAAAATACGTCCAGT